TGTTTATATCTATCAGCTAAGCCTCCCTGATTGGACCAGGTTAACAGCCCCAATCAGGGAACTCATGCTCTATGAGGTCCACCTGGCTGACCTTGTTATAATCACCACAGGAACACTGCTGGAATTGGAACATGTCAGAATGTTTCTTCTTGAGTATAGGAACATAATAAGAGGCTATTGACATGAGGCAGTATCCAAGAAATTAAATAGGAAATGCAGATGTCACCCAGAATGGTTAAACCTTGGAGCTTGCTACCACAAAAGGTGGTTGAAGTATATTGTATACATGCTTTTAAAGGGAAACTTGACAAACATTCAAAAAAGAAGGAAATGGATAGTTGCAATGGTCGAACGGGATGAGAAAGATGGAAGGAGGCTGATGTGAATTAAAACACCACATGTTCCGTTTGGGCCGAACGCCCTGTTTTTCTGCTGTTTAACCTACATAATGGATCTCTGCTACAGTTACAAAGTTGCCTTCATGGCCACTGGAAGTCCCAAGCCAGTTAACAGGCAATGAAGAATTTTTGAAGTGTTGTAACTGTAAGAAATGTGGCAGCCAGATTGCACACAGCAAGCTCCCATATTCAGCATTGTGATAACAATCAGATAATCTGTCTTTGTGATGTTAATTAGGGGATCAATATGGCTCAGAATCTACAGGATAACTCACTGCTCTTCCACAAAAGATACATAGGATACACTGATGACCTGATTGTGGCCTTCCTTAAGAGGAATTTTTTTTATGCATTCACTCCATCAAAACCTTTCATAATATTAAGATCCTCTACACAATCTCCTCTCGACTTCTTTCAAGCGAGACGAGAGACAAGCTGTTTATACTTTTCTGTTTGTACGCTGATATATTTCTAGCATCATTCTTGTAAACCTTCTCTGCACCCTCTCCAGTCTGTCTATGTTTTTAAGGCTCAATCAGATGGCTTCTCAATTAACAAAGAATCCAATGTTAAAGGGACAGACAGGAAAGTAGAATCCACAATCAGGCCAACCATGATCTTATAGAAAGTCAGAGCAGGCTACAGAGGTCAATTGACCTTACTCCTGCTCTCAGCCCAAGAGAACATTATAACAGAACTGTGAGTATACCGTATGGGCAGCAACGATTCAAGAAGGCCACTCACCACCACCTCTCAAAGCAGTTGTGGATGGGCAATAAATGCTGTCTTGCTAGTGATACCCATATCACATGAATCCATGCAGAAAAACTCAGAAGTTGAAGAGTGAGTTTCAACTTTGAGATTTTGAAAATTATAACACATATTTTTTGTGTTAAAATCCAGCCTAACGTCATAACTTAGTATCAATGGTTTCTTTGCATAGTAACATACAATTGAATGCATTTATCTTACCACACAAATTGAGTGAAAGACCACTAGCGGGTGTTGATTGAGCTAATAAAGTTGATGAATAGGTAGATCAAAAAGTATGAATTTACATCAGCTAAAGAAAGGGTGTATCTCAGACAGAATTTTCTTTGTAGCAACTCTATTTTGTACAGAATGATTATAAATCAAAACGAGTTTCATTAAGGAGTAGTACATTAAAGAATGTTATGTAAATTTTATAAGATTAGCCAATTAGGAAGGTAATTGTATACAATCTCTATTATATGTGACATGGTTATATTGTTTGAAGGTGGGAGAAAGCTTTGCTTTATTAACATTTGACTGGTAACAAGCAAGAATATTTTGATTTGTTTTGCACAGATTAGACTCTTTATTGGACCTCTGATCAAAATAACATTTGTACACGAGTGATTTCTTACTAAAAACAGACAAATTATGCATAATAAACTACTTTAAAACAGTCATTTAATTCTGTTTACTAATCTAAATTTGACATGGTGTTTAGTTCCCAATCCCAATGTCTAAAAGGCTAAGGGGAAGCCTGTCCACAAGGCAGAGACTTGCCCCTTGGCAACTCTACGCTTTCTCCAGAGGAAATTCTACCTTACAGAGCTGCTAGCCAATTGGAATAGACAGCAGTATTGCAGCCTCAACAGCACCACCATGAGTGGTGGCCACTGCTGGGACCACAGGCCAATCCTTCTCACTGGGGAGCCCAAATAAATCTCAGGCCTGGGGTTGCTGGGGCAGATTCGCAGGTCCTGGCAAAGTGAGCAAAACTGGTTGGATTTGAAAGGAGGCAATAATTTTTGTGGGCTGATGCGTCTGAGGTACCTGGGCAGGCTGCAATGCCAAGTTCCCCCAACTCCTTGAACGACACCAACACAGGCCGTGAGAACTGCCTGACTCCCTGTCCTCTATTTAATTATGGCCGGGACAAGGGTGGTTAGGTTGTTGGAGCAGACCTGTTGGCGTTTATGTGCCCTCCCCATTGATGGGCGTGTGCATATTCCAATCCAGCAGAAACGTTTTAAAAACATTAAAAACAACTGCAATTTTCAATGCTACTCCAACTGTTTGCAGGTCAATTTGAGTTGGCATTTTCACCTGAAAATAAAAGCAATGTTGCACAGTAACATTGTGACATTGATATCTGAAGTCAAGAATGTGTTACGTCTTTCCTTACTGTCACTTCAGGCCACCTCTACCTTGATAAAAACATCCTTCTTACAGAGTTCTGCCAAAAAAAAATTTGCTGAATGATGCTTAGACTCAATGGTCACATTTGCCTGCCACTTACTCAGGGAGTCAGTAGAAACGTTTTTAAGGAAGATTGGTCAAAATGTAGAACCTCCCACCAAAAGGAGTGGTTGAGGCAAATAATGTAGATTCAATTAAGGGGAATATTGATAACCACATGGGAGGGAATGATTTGACGTATCTGTTAATAAGGTTGTGTTAAGAGTGCTGGGAAGATGATTACATGGATCATTAATGCTGGCATTGATCTACTAGGTAGAACGGCCCACTTCTGTGCTTGAGATTAGATGTACTCAGTTTAACATTCAGTCCATCTCTCTCTTTCAGGAGGTGCCACACTTTTGCCTGCTGTTGGCCCCATCAAGATGATCGAAGCTGAGATAAGGAAGGTGCAATGAGGTCCGGTCTGTCCCTTTTGTGGGGAAGATTAACCATAAAGCACATGCACACCATTAATCCAATGACCTGACTTTAACTTTCAGATAATAAAACAAGCTTCAAATGTGCTTAAAATACCAGAAAAAAACAAGAAAAAATGTGAAAAGAAGAAAGTAAAGTGACCTAATTTAAGGGATGAAGATAAGTCATTGCTTGAAAGCTGACTTCTGCCACTGATGGTGTCTGTAAAGCACCCAAAAATCTCAAATTCCAAGATATATTTTAAATGTGGCAGCATTTCATTTTTCATTTCAATTGCTTATTGCTGAACAGTCACTCCAGAGCATTATCTGCGGAATTCCTTTGCTTACAAATGGCCTCTAACACAGCAAGACCATCTTAACAAGTGCTGAGCAGCCCCCAGTGCCTCAAATAAGGATGCCACTGATACTTACTGGTAATGTAGTGTCATGCAGGGCTCAAATGCAGCTTTTATTTTCCAGCAAATAGATTTATCTTATTTTGTTGAAAGTGGCAATGGTCTCTCCTGACGAATGCTCTTTTCGTACTTAGAAAACCAACATAAGCTGAAGCATTGTAACCAAGATGAGAATCCAACTGACTAAAGCATTGTCAGTGGAAAAGTGTTGGCAGGAGTCTAAACATTGGTGAAAAATGCACCGTTCGATTTCCCACAGCGACACTGTGCAGGTGCAGAGGTTGAGCAGTGTGGTACTTGGACACAAATGCATTGCTCAGAATGTAGCTCAATCTGAACAGTTTTGTTATTAAACGGCATTAACTTATTTTCTGAGGTATTTTGGAATTGCATTTGGGAGCATTTCAACAGAATTCAGAAGAATGCACAAGCAACAATTTCTAAGTCATATTCCTATACATTCAATACTTCATTATTAAGTTTTGAGAAGGTATAGAGAATAGATTAATTTTCCGAAATGTGCTGCTGCCTCCAGATATGTTTCTTAATCTCTAACAACGATGCACGTAAAACAAAAACCACTAAAAATCAGTGTGGAGCTGGAGGAACACAGCAAGGCAGGCAGCATCAGAGGATCAGGAAAGCTGACGTTTCAGGTCAGGATCCTTCTTCAGAAGAATTATTTTCTGAAGACGGGTCCCTACCCGAAACGTTAGCTTTCCTGCTCCTCTGATGCTGCCTGGCCTGCTGTGTTCTTCTAGCTCCACACTGTATTATCTCCGACTCCAGCATCAGCAGTTCTTACTATCTCCCACTAAAAATCAGGACTTCTTGCTGTTTGTTCACCTAGTGGTCATTTGAATCGTTTATTACTGAGACGTTGTGAAACTTCACATCATATAAAACCGCAGTGCATTATAATATGGACAAATAGCTCAGCAAAGTGGCTTGACACTTGTAAGGCTAGACATGGGCAGTCATATAAAGGTATCCAGTGTAAAGCTAAAGGCAAACTTTGGTATTCCATTATTCAATCATTAAAACTCCAAGTGGTGGTGGGAAGCTAATGAGCAGCACATTATCCATGTATCTGAGCAGAGCTGCATGGGTTCTGCCTCCTGCAATTTTTGATGATGTGTTGAGCTAGGTAACATGTCAAGAGGATAACTGAGTTGAAGGTTAACTGTACTCATCTGTGCAAGTCAGGTAAGTGTTAGGTTAACCACAAACAATGGGCTTCCCTGAACAATTTGACATATTTGAGTGGGATGCCTTTGGTTGAAAGTTGTCAGCAATGTGGATTGATTCACATTCAGTGTACTACCAATTAAACAGATACAGATCCATAATAAAAAAATGTTGGAACAAACAGAAAAGGGAGCTCATTCCTCACAGCTCAAGTTTGTGATCTACAGCAGTCAGGAGATGAAACAGCAATACAAGAGACGCTATTGTGTTTTGTCAAAGTGGGTTAACAGATTGAAGGTTTATCAGGTGCTATAAAATCTGACAAGTCAAACCATTGTAAGATAAGAATAAATCTTCCTTTACAATACCTTGTCTCTAGTGGCACGTTGCTATTCAGAACCCAGCTGTCCTGCAGCTGAACAGACTCTGGTGTGGTAGGCAGCTCATTGGGCGCAGCAGAAGGGGCATGAATCTGGTTCCTCCTGTTTGTCAAAGAGTTTCTGTTGAGGGAGTTGGCCGACGAGTGGTGATGTGAGAGTGTCTGGTTGTGAGGTGGTGGAAGAGGAGGCCGTAGAGTGGACTGGCTGTGATGGTTTGGAGGACCTGCAGAGAAGGAAAGAGTACAATCATTAACGTGCTGTCATCCATAACATTCCTTCACAAAGATGAGTTGGCAGGTTGAAATGAAGATTCATAAATCTCTTGATACTTATTACAATGGAATGAAATGTCACCTGATTTTCACAAGTTCCATCCATCCTTTTGATAATTGTTTATATTATTTCTACTGAAATTTTATTCTATAATTCAGTCAAATAAACCTTCACAACATTGCAGTGCTAGACATATAACATAACCCTACTGCGCTCATCCATTCACATCTGGGTACTTTCTTTGCTATGCTGGTTCTTTCCCCACTGTTAAGCATTTATCTTTTCATCTATGTCATAAATAATAGTCTGTTTAGGAGTTTGTTTCAAGACAGCTCTATATCTCAGGGATTCAGCTGACTTTGATAAATTGCTTGAGCTTCACACCTGTAGTTTATGCCATCGTGAGGACCCCTTCATGTGTTACTGACTTGTAGCAAACTCCTCGCTGTCTTTTATCCTCCAAGTAAATGCTTGCCATGAATGGATATTTGCAGGAGTTCCCATTGAAATTTCTAAAGCAGTTAATTTTACACCATAGAAATCTAAAGAGCACTTAAATTAAATTGTGCAGACTGCACATAGTGAAGTAACAATTGAGTTAATGGGGAGACCTGCCTGTTCTTAACAAGCTGAGGTGGACGTCAGGGTAATAAGTAGATTCTGAAGAAAAAGCAACAAAAAGACTGCAGTGAGCTCTCTGAATAGTTTTAATTACAGGGTGTAACTGCCCTGTTCACTCTAAATACTGCAGACACATCATAAGACCAGTATAGAATAAGAAATAATACCTGTTTCTACAAGATGGCATTGTTCCTGCTCACTTCTATCACATTTCTTCTATAACCAATAATATAGTTGTCACAAATGTAGAGAATATACAGCATATATAAGCATTAAAAAGAAAGTGAAACTCTGTTAATCTGGATTGGCAAATGTTAAACAGGAAAATATCTGTGCATTTAATAGGCATGTCTCTCAGCATTTGTGGTGATGTCATTTATCATCCCATTGTTTATTATATTGTGTATCTAATATGCACAAAGAGAATTTTACAGTTTGGCTAATGGATTAAAAGTACACTTACTGATTGGATTGACTTGGGAAAAAACTGGACCATTTTGTTGTAAGCAAGCACTGCAAGGACCCTTTGGAAGTGACAAAATTCACTGATAGATTCTATTAAACTTTGGTCATCTGCAAATATTTTGATAGTTCACATGTAACCAACAGGACCAAGATTACAGTAGTTTACAGTTACAGTATCTGCTAAGGCACAAAATGTACTTGTAATAAATAGCAGAAACCCTCATGTCCTCCAGGTAATATAAGATGGGCTCAGATAAGAGCCTGTGATGTTGGAGATAGTATATTAACATGAATGGACGCCTGGCTAACTAACAGAAGACAGAGAGTTGGGATGGTGGGGGTTGGGGGGGGAGCATGTTCAGAATGGCAACTTGTAACTTGTGGAGTGCCACAGGGATCAGTGCTGGGTCTACAATAATTTACAACACATATAAATGACTTAGATGAGGATAGTGAATGTACTATAGCCAAGTTTGCTGACGATACAAAAGTAGCTGGGAAGGCAAGTGGTAGGGATGACATGCAGAGGGTTAAAGGTAACTTAAGTGAGTGGGCAAAATATTGTCAGATGGAATATAATATTGGGAAATGTGAGGTTATGCACTTTGGCAGGGCCGGATAGAGGGGCAGACTATTATTAAAAAGTAGAAAGGCTGCAGGAAGCAATAGAATAGGAGATTCAGGAGTCTTCATCCATGCATCAAATGCTAGTATCTACCAACATTTAGAAGCTTTATGTACAGTACTTGTTGAAGAATCTACCTTTCAAAGATTGGACTCTTCAACCGTCAGCATAGGTGTGCTGTATGAAGGTGAAATTGTTTGCTGAGTGTCCAACATCTTTCATAGATGGATGGAAGGTGGAATTCTACAATTACCAACCCAGCTCTGATAAAGTTCTCAAGGTTGGAAAGTGATAGGTCAATATTTCACAGGGTAAGATCACTTGACTGATTTGATGGGCTTCAGAGACAGACACAAGTACAGAAGATGATAATAACAGTTGTGTACTGCATCCTTTAAAATGGATTTTTTTAAAAAAAGAAAGATTGAGCTGATAAACCTTTATATGATATTGCAGGAATTGGAGTTTGGATACACAATAACACGAAGTGTGTACTCAGCATGCAGCAGCAAATGATATGGAAAACAATCTCAGTTTCTTTTCTGCTGTTTCTGATGGCTCCATCTTGTTTAAATGCAGCACTTGGCAACCACTCAAAGTGGTCAACAGTAGATAATTCAAAGAACACACTGAAAATGTCTTATTTGCTGTGAAGCCCTTCAACCTCCATCTCCATAAAACAAATTTTACTTAAAAGCCTTTTTTCTTTCCAGTTTAATGAACTTGAATTGTTTTCCCAAAGCACTCAATGCATCTCAGGCATGCAGAGTAAACAAATTATTTTAAAATCCAATGTATTTACAAATTCATTGGTTTTAAGCACATGACTAAGTGATTGGTAACTGATTATTGTTTTGGAAATAAATGGCTTTTTGAAAAATATCTATTAGATATGGTGGCTATATTGCAAGAGCTTTGTTACAGTCAAATTGTTCTGGACTTCAAGAAAGAAAGAAAGAACTTACATTTCATTGGAACACCCAGGATGCTACATAATGCTTACTTTCATTTTACAGTACAATCAATTTTGTTTTGATGGCCACCATCAAAACAAAATTACACATCAAAATCCGAAAATTATCATGAAATATTTAAACAGACATTTTGTTTTCTTTTGTGAGGAATAAATGTTAGGCAGGCTATTAGGTGAAATCCCTATTCTTCAATGGAAAATAGAGAAATGTTCCATACTCTTGAATAGGTAGATCTGGCATCAGTTTAACATCTTATTCAAAGGACAATGAACTCCATGACAATGCAAATTTCTCTCAGTATTGCAGTGAAGATAAAATTCTTTGTTCATTTCTTGGCGTAGGGACTTAAACCTCAAAATTGGCAGTTTGAAGCTTAAGGGTGTTTAGTAGCCTGACCTAGGGCATTTCTCAACGCGACAGACCTGCCTTGGTTTAAAGTGGTTGGTCACACACAACCTACATTCCAGTATGGGTGGGATGCTGCTAAAATCAGTAGCACTGATCCAAGAAGCAAACAGATGGAAGTTATGGGGGTAAACGAGTACCAGATGAGTTGGGTAAAAAAGTTGAATCTGTTCTTTGGGATTTCATCCTGGTTGACATGATAATACTCAGGCCCTTTATCCTTTATTCCTCATTCACATCAAATCCACATCACACCTTCCAACTGGTGTCCATACAGCTTCATACTCTGGATGTGAAGGCACGTCTCCCTGCCACTCCCATGCCACCTCATCCACCCACTTCCCAAGGTCCTCATATCCTCCAAGCTTACTCATAACTTCCAGGCACTCCTCACAAAATGATGAGGCCTTACATTTGATAGAAGGAATCAAAGGATATCAATGATGCAGCTGAAAGTGAGTACGGAATTATGCGGCATTTTTAAATACCAGAGCAGCTGGTTCTAAAGTATTTATGCACAATGGAACTGAAAGCACCGACATTCACACAGTCCCATATTGAGCACACTGCAGAAAATTGCTTGATATCATGGCATTTTATATCACATCAGGGATTCAAGATCCACCAATATTGCAGGCATTTTCTGATCTTTTTGAACTATTCTTTCAATTTACACACATGGATATGCCATTCTATGCGATACTTATTTAGAGGACAGACCTGCCATCATAATGCACTAGTCGCTGCAGTATTCCACAGAAACCACCCGCTGTATTATAGTGTATCTGACAGTGCCATCGTGGATGTCCCTATCCATCGACAGAATTCCTGCTGGTTCTCAGCAATTTCTGTTTAGCAAATAACCTACTTGCGAATGAGTTGCATTAATTGAATCCTTAATTATTGGAATCCACAGATTCCTATGTATTTAGAACTGTAGGTGGATACATGTAAAAAGACCATGAACAAATGGTTTAAAGCTTGCATTTTAGTCTGTGGCATTTTCATTATTGTACAAATAATAACATTTTTAGAAATAATAATAACTTCAGCTATTGCGTGTGGCATTGTTCAAAACTATGGTCTTTAACCCAATGTGCTTTAGGTATTATATCTTTTGATTGCCACAGTCTTGAAGCCAGTAGCCCATCCTAGGAATTTCCCTGAGGAAATTACCAGTCTTCACTAATTGCTTTTTGTTGCTTTAATTTTTTTGGATAATTGTTTTGTGCTCATTACAGTGAGAGAAGGTGTTAAATTGTTTAATTTAACATCCTCATCCTCATGATTAAATCAATTCATGGTTTTTACCCCCCTCCTATCTCTATCCTCTCCCAACACCCCTCTCCCCTCACCCACTCACTGTCCGTTCCTTTGACTCTGGCATTCTGTGCACCCCTCCATGCTTTTTCCCTACCATTGTATGCCACGCCTTCAGCTCCCCATGGTCTGAATTTCTACCGTGTGCCACGCCATCTTTCAAACACCCTCTTCTCCTTCAAAAATATCCTTAAGGTTAGGGTTAGAACAGACCATGGAGCTGAGGGATATTAGTCATGACCTTGTTGAATGGTGGAACAGACTTGAAGGCTCAGTGACCTTGCTTTTATTTACTTCTGATGACACTCCTCTCAAGTGCTTCATGCAAAATCTTTCTTTATTAAAGGGGGAATAGAAATGCAAGTTATTGCAGATCTTGTATTGTCTTAAATATAACCCTTTCTCTTGGAAACTCATTGTCAGCATGGTGCACTTACAGTTCTTAAAAAGTACAACTCATCTACTTTCTTCAAAAAATAGGATCAAAAATTGACTTGTTTGGACAAAATAAAACGTGCCTGGGTTTCACCAGCAACAGCC